ACAGAGCCAATCGTCAAGCAATTGATTCTACAAGAGTGCCCTGTGTGCGAAAGTTCATCCTCAGAAATGTTGGGTACCCAGAACCTGCTCTACAAGCGCAGACGTTACGGTTTGTGAAATGCTGCTGCTACTGTGACAAAGGAGAGGAGCACGAGCAGCCGCGCGATTAGTAAGTAACGGTGTCAATAATAAAAAAAAGTATTTAAATACTTGATAATAATGTGCTTTTAATCCAAAAAACGACCCCTACTTTGACTACAGCATGAAGACAAAATTAAAAAATTCGTTCTCTCTCAAGAACCAGATCGCGACTATACTTTGTTAGCTTTTACACAGTTTCGTTGGCTTGTTGATTGGGAGGCGGTTGGAGAATCCCTGAAACGACTTGTGACACCTACCGGGTGTGTTTTCAAAGAGCCGGTCGTCTTGTAAGAGCTCCACGCACTTGATGATGTCGCCCAGATTGGATGTTCTTTGTCTTGTTTGACTTTGCAAAGTAGCGATGCAGCAGTTGTTCCGTAAACATCTTTCTCAGAGACGTTCCCATGCTGCCAGTTATCCTGCTCATCCGCTGAATGTGGACATCCCTAAGTTGCCTCTTGCATGCTTCAGTTTGTCTATGAATAAATGTATTATAAACCAATCTCAATATCGTTTATACTCTGAACAACCAAGTTCAGAATAGACGGGTTATCAAAAAAAATAATAATAATAATAAAAACAAAATGTGAACGAAGGCCATGCACTGGTTAGTTTGTATTTAAAAAAACAGTGTTCTATCAAATGTGGACAGACACAAAATGTATGCGTGTAAACGTACGCAAATGTAAGGAGCAGGGTTATAACACCAGAAGGATAAAGTGCTACATATGTATTTATAACATGCCCATACAATCTTGTCAAAGTTCTTACTCTTGAATTCATTGTTCTCAAATTCATTGAGATGGTCAAGAGCGATGTTCTTGCCAGGCCCTCCCATGATATTGGCTGTCTTGTTCCAAGTCACATCGTGGGCAATGCGGTCAGGAAGCCATCCATTCAGGCCAATGGCAAAAACATAAAACCAAGAATAAGAGGAGCGCAGTGAAAGAGGGATACTTAACTTTGTGCGTGAGGAGCCCGCAGACGCCGAAGGAGGGATTGAAATGGGGAATGACATCAACATTTTCGAAACACATGTGTAAGAGTAACATTGTATTAATGGTAACATGCAATACAAATACTGATGTCGATGTCTCTTCACTTTGTTCCTTTTTATGAATATAGCTTAAAAGTAACCACACGTATACGGGTAATATGAGGGTAATTATTGTGTACCATATCTTTGTAAGTTTGCCTTTTGTCTGAAAATAAAAAAGAAATGTTGGAAATACATGTACACCGTCCTATCCTAGCTGAAACGTATTATTCTAACGAACCTGCTAAAAGTCGATGGGCCAGAGCCATGTACTTGTGGTGCTTCCTGTCGAACAGCTGTGGGATGCTGAGTTTCCAGAGCCGTAACGACTGTGGGCCGTCGTTCTCTCTCTCTCTCAGCATCCCGGGTGCACGAGAAAAAGAGGCCGCGCCACAACTGTGCTCTTGTATACTCCATGATGCTGTCACTTGTCTCTTTGCCTTGCCGAGCTTCATAGCCAGTCATCATCTGCAGGAAGCAATAACAATGAATAAATATGCGTTATCATGATTTCAGCTACGTACACAGTTGTGGAAACGGGTCATGTGATGTTCAGCAATTGAGGCAGATGGCACGATCGATTTATATGGGGTCGTGGCAAACCGGCGACTAACACTGCGTTTGTTACACAATAAAAATATTTAATCCTTCAAACGATTGTTTGTTTTTTGTTGTTGTTGTTTTTTTTTCATTCGAAACGGACGTTGAAGAAACCACTTTTTTGCATTGGTGATTGGTCACCGCTGTTCCCGAGACACAGTACGTTTACATCGTACACGGAGAACGACACGAAAAACGTATTCCTACTACGTCGTGTCGGATGTAAACGACTGTTTTTTTTTTTTTTTTTTCATCTTTTCTCGGGAACGGTAAGATCTTAAGTTGGTTTCCTTTCAACCAGATGTTTGAAATTGAAAATCAAAAACATGAAATTTTCGGGGATTTCAGGACCTAGTGCCCCTTTAACATAGAGCTCCAGCCTACATGTATATATATATTAGATCTATTGGTAAAATTCGCATCGCACTCCTTTTTGCGTGAAGAATGAATCGGTCTTTGAACTTGCAACCAAAAAGATATGTACAATTTTGAAGCATTTATTATACAATTTTTTTTATAAAGTCACGGGTTGTGAAAAGGACTGTACAGCCCATCTGAAACCCCTTCCCGTATAAAATAAGACAAAAATTAAAGCAATCAGTTAATCTTAAAAAAAAGTACAGTTACAAAGTAAGGAAAGAAAAGGTAAAATAACATGACAGAATCTATGAGAAAAAAAGGGGGAAATAGAATGACGTATGAAAAAAACATCTTACACGAAATGATCAAACTTTAAAAAAGTACATAAACATTGGAGAAAATGGTATTAATGTATTACTAGAGGTTCGCGTTTGTTGTTACAAATGCAGAGCGGTCGGGTAGACAACTGTTTTATGAAACACTGTATATTTTAATAAAGAAGAAAGGATTCCGAAATTAAATCCTTTCCAGTACAATCAATTATTTTGTTTAAAAAGATACATCTTTGACGTGATAAATTTCAGTAATCATTTCATGTACACATTAAAGTTATGTCTTGCTTGATGACGTCATTATTCAAAAACGGGAAGTGAATACTGATTGGGTTTGGATTGGACAAATGTTCATTGTAAAGTTAACGTATACAAATTTGGAAGTGTATGCATTCATAACACATAACCTACTTTCCGGTTTGATTACGTCACAGTATTGGAAGCAAAGGTGATCATTGTAATGAATATCTTATTTGAGCTAAGATCGACATGGATCAATTGATAGAATTGCATTTAAAATATGGTCATATTCAAATTCAACTTCCGGTCTGATGACGTCAGGCGCGGTTCTACGGGGGGGGGGGGCTAGGAGGGGGCCTTATTTATTTTTTTGGTCTATAGCCCCCCCCCCCAAAAAAAAAAAAATCGTAAAAAGAAATTGCATTAGCAAAAAGGATTGTGATGTACATGCAAACGGTCTCCCCCTAAAGAAATAGTCGTGACAAGGGTGCATTTGTAGTTAATATAGTGTGAATGATTTTATGATTTTAATTATTGGCGCTCCCCATTGAAAATATGGCATGCCCCCCCCCCCCACCCACCTATTGATTTTCGGAGGCCTAAGTGTCTGGAGAAAATAACCGGTCTACATTTCAGCACGCCTTCCTGAAAAAATTCTGGATCCACCCTGCTAGCCCCCCCCCCCCAAAAAAAATAATAATATTGGTTCTAGAACCGCGCCTGTCATGATGTTATGATTTTGCAACCTTGCCAAGTTATCTGTGGTTAATCAAAGAATATTCGAGTGCGATTTAGTAAAATATGAACGGATGGTTTTCAGATTAAGGAAAGCAAACACTATTTTATGTTCCGCTAGGGGGCGCCCTTCCAAAATATGACGTCATTACGGTGTTTTTGTGTCTGGCATTCCTCACTGAACACTTTCACAATTTGACATGTATGTGTGTAGTAAAATGCTTCCGCTTTTGAGTTAAATTCGGTTTTTATTGCACTTCCGGTAGCACCGGAAGGTCAAGCGGTTTTATGTCTTGGGACAAGAAATGTTACTCACGGCATAGTCTACAACATCACGGAAAACAAACACGACTCTATATTTAGTCATAGAGATAACTCTATAAAGTTAAAGCGCAAACTATTTTGTCAAAATTTTCCCTTAGATCGCTTGTAATTTGATACCTGATAACGTCATGATGACGTAACAAAATGTATAACATCTTCGTTTCATGGTACAAGTTCAAGCTAGGTTTTACGATCACACCATAAACCGTTTGAATGAAATGATGTTTTGTTTTGATTACAGGCTAAAGTCTCATTTTGAATTAACTCGGAAGTAAAGGTCAAGTGAGTTAACGTGACAAACAAATGTATATCAATTAATGGTCTATCTGATTACAAGGTTGGAAAATAATTGATCATTTTGTTTAAGAGTTATAGGTGAAAGAATATCGTCATTTTTTCAACAAAATATTGCTTGTAATTTGACACCCGATGACGTTATCATGACGTCAGAGTAATATGCACCACTGGACGAGGGTCAATAAATATTGAAAGTTACACGTTCATACCATATACCGTTTAGGAGAAAACCCGCGGTTACCTACTGTCCAGAAAAGAAAGAAAGAAGATTATTCGTACAACTCCAAAGAGTGGTCGGGTTGTGCCCGACCACTCAATTAATTGTATTAACGATAGGGGGAGGGGAGGGTCGTCAACGGGGCCATCCCCTTCCCCCTAAAAAAAAAAAAGATTTTTGGCTTTTTATGTTAAGAGACTTCTATCGCCCAAAGTACGATAGCAAACACAAAAGCAACAAATTTCGTTTTCACTGGATATAATTCAATAATATTTTCACGACCTGCTGGGCTGTCACCCCCCATGAGCCCATTTCCCCGTCCCAACAAAGGCAGTCATGCGTACAAATTTCATTGCTCGAAAAAATAGAATGCTGAACGTGGTCAAAAATTGCGTTAGATCGCCCACAGAGCATCTACAATCCTACCCCCACCCCAATTAAGTAGTTATAGCAATTATGTTCTTTGTTCAAGTCCCTGTTCAAGTGGTCATGATCTATGCGACATCAAGCCCGCACCATTTACAGTTAACAGATTATGGCCACGTTACATACAAAGTGCAAAGATAAACGTGTCATGAAACAGTCGTTGGTGCATCCCCCGATCTGCACGCCGAGTTTGTTTATCTGCCGCAGGTCACAAGTCATGGCTTCGCTTACACGTTTGTACACAAGGCTATATCACCCCACAATTCCGTCTGGCTGGGGATGAACGTCTATAGACAGTGCACGGTTAGACTCTAGCTGGTGACGTTGCTGTCAATGTCAGTGCTAAACTGGTCGAATTGCACGGATTTACAACCGAAAAAAATAATCGTGAGTATCACTGCAGCCCCATTACTTTGTCTTTGACATGTGGAGAAGCCAGTTGGTGCTTTTGAAAGTATTTTTGTCAAGTATTTTACGTGATATTTGGCAACTAAATGTGTATCTTCGAAACGAGGATTTATGCATTGTGGGGCGCTTGTACGACAGACCACAACCCAAATATAAAAATAAAACTGTTTAAGTGCCCCAGTAAGTGGGTCAAGGAGACTCCCATAAGTAGAAGGAAATCTAACTGGATAGAGTGTCATTTAATGGTCAGTCCCAGGAGGAAGCAATGAGGTGACGAGCTACCATAATCACCAACCAATAAGCTGGCACATAGCAGTTCCTTCAACGTATGCATAAGAATATCACATTTTGCATAACATATGCCAACTTTGAGATTAGCTTAAAAACAAACAAAAAATACTATACCCCTAGGTTTTTGGATATTTTGTAGGCCAGGTTTATTTTCATCCTACTTCGCCTCAGGGTTGAGTTATCCACGGGGTCAAATTCAAGTTCAAATTCAAGGTCCAAAGGTCAACATAGTTCAAATTACTCCGACATGTAAAGTAATGGTAAATTTGGATTCCTTACCTTATGATGATACCTTTCTAAAGCAACCAAAGGTCAACAGATTTGGCGAACAGGTTATGGAGACAATATTTCATTTGAAATTTGGCGGCCATGCCTATTTTCACCCCTTGCCAACCAATTGCGGGCGGTAGAGCGAAAACTGTTTGTCCGATAAAACGTACAGGGTGAGTGAAAAAAAAACCACGAAACCCAAATGTCGGGACTATTCTTTTTATTACGTTCTCCACGTAGCACTTTCAAAATCTAAGATATAAAAGCCGAATTCATAAGTTTCTTTTAGTACAGGAATCATTCAAATTACTTACGTACTTTTTTAGTTACGGAATTTTAAAAACAACCATTTAAAGTTCTGTCCACGGATTACACAAAATGTGTACGTTCATTGCTGAAAGAACACATCTTTTTGTAACTGAATCCGTGGACAGAACATTAAAACGGTGGTTGTGTTTTAAAGTCCATAACTTGAAAACTAATAAGTGATTTGAATGATTCTTGTACCGCTGAAAGAAAGCTCCATGAATTGAGCGTTCATATCGTGGATATTGAAAGGGTTACATGCAGAACGTCACTAAAACAATGGTACCGATGACATTTGGGTTTCCTTTGTTTTACTCACCCTGTATAATTCAGCTGTTTCAGCCTAAATTACCCCACGCGCTAAATATGAGCACCTTTGTTGGGAGATTTGACACGGATGATCCCAATCTTAGTCAGTTCAACTGTTTCATTACACTTTACAGTGATGGCAAACCACCAAGCAGCAGCACGATCTGTGCATCTCCGTTATGACCTACCTGACAACGTGCCATGCGTTTGTAATGAGGTATGCGTCGATGAGACAAGAAAAGGTTCGTACTTTTGCGTCATTGGCTTCAGCAGAGGGTATTGTGGCATACAGGAACTCTCCGATGGTCAGAAAAAGTTGATTTTTTCGGTATGGGACAGCGAAAGTAACAATGATCCAACACCGGAAAATCGAGTCAAGGTTACGTACAGTGGTGAGGGCGTCGAGGTGTCGCGATTTGGAAACGAAGGCACAGGCGGTAAAACCATGATGCCATTCGATTGGAAAATTGAAGTGCCAGTCAAATTTAAGATGGAGGCAAGGGATGAAGATGGGGTCTGGACTTCTTTCTCATGCTTTGTATTCATTGAAACATCAAGTTCTTGGTTTCATATCGCAACTCTGAAAACGATTGCAAATGGGGACCTTTTAAAGTCTGTTTACTCATTTGTGGAGGATTTTAGAAGAGACTTTAAAAGTTACGAAGAGACCAGAATGGCGAAATTCGGTGACTGTTTCGCGTTAAATGGAGATTGTGAGACCGAATGTCGGCGAGCAATGTTTACTGCCGATGGCTCGCCTTGCAAGAATATCGATGCAGGTTGTTTGGATACTAAATTCTTTTTAGAGACTGGAGGGCAAACACAGAACACTCATACCCCATTGAATGGTTATATCACTTTGTAGAATATAATCTCGAATATGAAACCAAGAAATCGACGGTTCAATGAATACAAAACGTATGAGCATATATTCGAAGTATAGTTTATAAGTATCATTGTTTCTTTTTGTTGTAAATAATTTACCAGATATTGTAATGGTAATTACTCTAGGTCCCACTTGCTTTTGCTGTCGATGACATAGATACTGAAGTCATATCCGGAAGCTGTATGCCCGACAGAGATGTTGTTATTAAAATATAACCAGCTGTAAAGACACATTTAGTTGGATATTTTAATCGTTAAATTATTTTCAAACCAATCGGTGTGTACATATGAAAATGCAGGAAATTGACATCAGACATCAATGATAAAGAATGCAGTCAGTCTAAAACAAGACCAGACTCTGTTCAATATATGCAATGACTTTGGGAAAGTTCAATAATTGGCAAAGCGTGCTTTGTTATCTTTTCTCAGCTGAAAATTCCTGGTCAAAATCGGTTATTAACATACCAGCTGATTTACCCGATCATAGATCGGGTATATAGGGCGTAGTGTTGGGGATGAAAATGTGGGCAGTTAAATGTAAATGGGGGATCATTGAGGAGACATGCAGTTATAGAAAAGCAATTTTTGTGGTGTGATCTGAGTCAATTTCTGACCACTAAAACCAATTTGAGCAAAAGATCATCTTTTAAACATCATTTTCGAGCTTGGGGTAATTGAATAAGCTACACGGTATTCTGAGCAATAGAATCATTATAGTAGGCTACAATTTTTATTGAAATTTTTAAGAAAAAGTCGGGCGGGGGAGGGGCTCCAAACAATGTCCCCGCTTTAAAATGTGGGGGGTCCCCCTGTTCCCCACCGATTTACACACATGATAATTATGTACCATGACAACTGTCTGTAAGTGTTCCCGTTGTTCTGTTAAATTGGCATTTTGTGAGGCAGTCGCATTGCCGGGAAAACGTAGTGAAAAGGTTACCGTATAGTACACAGGCGAAGGCGGATTGTACAGTTTTGACAATAAATAATAATGAAATCAAACGTGAAGTTGTCATTTGCAATAAAAATGTTACCATAAAATAACAAACGGTCTGAATGATGGAGGAAGGTCATAATTAAATTTCAGTATTGGACTCTTCAACAAACGTAAGCTTGATCTTCTTACAATTTGCGAGACCGTCTGCGAGGAAAAAGTCGATTCAAGTTGGTCAACCATTTATATAAGAGCAAGTTTTACTCGGCCTCCGAGAAATGTTCGCTCCTGAAAGGATCCGAGACCGCGGTCTCCCGCGACGCCAAAATGGCTCCACGTCCATAGAAAAATACGGAAAATTTCCTCCGCCAAATCAAGCACTTCAGATCGTCTTAAGTTTTCCGTACGTACGCCCCGGCGATCCGTTTTGTCGATTTTTTGTGACTGCGTTCAGGATCGCGACCGCAACGCCAAAATGGCTCCACGTCCATAGAAAAATACGGAAAATTTCTTCCACTAAATCAAGCACTTCAGGTCGTCTTAATTTTTCCGTACGGACCGGCAATCCGTTTTGTCGGTTTTTTTGTGACTGCGTTCAAGATCGCGATATTTGAAGCAATGCATCGATCCTTCGTTGATCCCTAACAGGCACCCGAAATTATAACGCGACACTGAATTATACCGTTGACGTGGCGGGCAGCGAACTCACAGCGCTCAGCCTTGGTGGAAGCATAGAGCTAGTGGAAGCATGGAGCTCATTATGGAAGCAACAGCACTCTATCACGCGACGTCACATGTTTGTGCAATAGCGAGCACCGTAGACCCATTTTCGTTCCCAGGGTGTGGAGCATGCTGCAGTACGCGTTGCCATCGACGGTTTTACGCATACCCCGGAAGTACACAGGGTAGTCGTTCGATTGGTCAGACCTCGCAAGGCATACTAATGTGTAGTCATTCTGAGTATTCGATGCACTCAGCGCAGGGGCGGCAAGCAAAGCATATGAAAGAATAGAGACTCTTGGTGTCCACGCACCATGGACAAAAATATTTTACCAAGGTCACCCCATACAACCGTTTGGTTAACACTTTTGCAGAACGGCAAAGTAGAACACGTAAACGCAACCCCTACGTTGAAGCCGCTGACCTCGCACAGTCTAGACTCGCAGAAAAGCCAACACAGGGGGCGGCAAGGCAGTCAACGTGAAAGCGCACACGACGACAAATTCCTGCGCAAAACGCAGTCACGAAAAATTGACGAAACGGATCGCTGGTCCGTACGAGAAAATTAGGACGACCCGAAGTGTCCGACCCGGCGGAAGACACCCTCCGCATTTGTCCACGGACGTGGAGCGATTTTGGCGCCGCGGGAGACCGCGGTTTCGGATCCTTTCAGGAAAAAACATCGTCTCGGAGGCCGAGTAAAACTCTCTCTTATATATATGGACATCATTTCTTTAATTTTAACAAAAAAGCTATATTTTTGTAACTAATCCCTGTTAGCCCATTCGAAATGTTAAATCAAGGTTGAAATAATATTTATATTGATTATAAAAGCACAGTGTGTACAAAACCAATCAGCTTATAGGAGTTTCATAGCACAGAGACCATGTTTTGTAGAATTACTTTAGATATAATCAATGCATGGGTAATCAGCAGGTTGTCATTATGGTTTACTTGACCTTAGTTCCTTGACCTTAGTGTTGACAAACTTGTTTTTCCAAAATCACGAAGAATGATTTTTGATTTCTCAACACTGCATTTACTTGGTTTTAATCAAATCTCAAAAATCGTCACAAAGTGTGTCTATTTCAGGCGTTTCATCGGAATTTATTGGTGTCAGGTTTGGGGTTCCTCAAGCTTAGGTTCATATCTTGGCCCAATGCTTTTTACAGCTCATGCAAGTTTGCTTTTTAAGGTCATCAACAATTCCATAATTAGTGGTTATGGCTATGCATGAAACAAAGTGTTTTTTTCTTTCCTTAACTCAGTGATCAAAAACGAATCGTTACCAAGTGTAACGCATGGATGTTGAAACACAAGTTGATATTGAATGATGGTAAAACAGAGGTTATTTTGTTTGGTTCTCAGGAACAACTGGATGAGGTTAACATAGACCATGTGAATGTAGTTATTACAGATCACCAAAATATTATTTGATACTTAAAAAATACAACTTGTTCAACGAAGATACGAAATAATTTCCACATATGCCTTTTTATTATAATTATGTTAATGGCGTTATGAGGACTTTTTTGAAAAAATATGTTGCCAATCACGGCTTCAATTTATGCGCGCTTACGGCAGCTAGCCCATACAAAATGGCGCCAATGTTTACAAACGAAAGAAAGGCCTATTGAGTGTTTTAGTTCAAACACTGATTACCTCTTACTTTACTTGGACTATGTTTACTCTGTAATGTATGTTATGTCTCAAACCTTATTCGACAAATTATAACAGCGATTACAAACAATACTGCTTGGCTTCGTTTTCGGATTGTGTAAGTACGACGTGATTTCACTACCACTAAAGGATCTGCATTGGTTGGCTTCCAGTTCGTGCGCGTGTCCAGTTCAATATTTTGCTTTTGGTTTTCAAGGTGGTACAGAATAAGGCACCAGCTTATGTGACGGACTTGGTTGTGAAGTCACGTTGTGCTTACGACTTACGTAGTTAAGACACTCTGAATCTTTCCGTCCCTCGATCGTATAATAAACTGAATGATAGGGCAGTTGTTATGACCCGACCCACTTTGTGGAAATCCCTGCCACCCAGTTGAAGAGAATTACAAATGAAGATGAGTTCAAGTGTGCGATCGAGACGCATCTCTTCAATCAATTCTGTGATTGTAATAAGTTTTTATGTGTTATCTGTCGGTTTTTTTTACTTTGTTTCTAATTACATTTTTAAATTGTTTGACACTGTATTGATTGTACAGCATTCTTGAATACGTTTTATTGATGATGGAAGTGGCGCGGCGCTATAGAAATAAAATTAGTGTTAAATAATAATACATAGAGTTGTAATTCATTTAGGTTCTTATTTTATTCGTATCTTACCTTGAATTTCAAGTGTGAACAGTACAGTGTAGATACGAAAGATCATGGTGAGCACTGTTTAATGTATAGATAATGGATATCCAGTCGGGATGCATGTCATCTCAAAATACAGTTGATCATTTTCGGTGTCTGTGGCACTTACCGAAACACTGTTGTACCCATCGCTATTTGTACTGGTACTACTAAATGACCGAGCGTCTGAAAACAAAACTTGTTCTTCTGTATAATGAAATGTTATGTTGACGTTTAATAAACGTATGTTTTATATTGATATTCAAATAGAGTAAAACACTTTTTTTTGGTCAAGTCGATTTTGATGTGATGTGAAATGGCCCTTAAATACATATAGACGTGAAAGATGTAGAAGCTTTAGTTATCCCTTTACGGTAAATATTTGGCCCAACTAATTACACTTTTGATACTTCATAATTATCATATAGCTGCAGTTTTATTAAAAACAATACCCCTCCCCCCCCCAAAAAAAAAAAGTGTTATTACTACGAAACCCATGGTGGGTTAAGTTTGGTTCGTTGGACCTCTCCATAAAAGTCCTGGATCCGCGACTGAGATTCTGTCAAAAGTTTGAATTTGTTTAAGCACTGTATTCGGTGCGCGATCTGACAAACTGACGAATAGCACACAAAGAGCGCGAAGAATATCCGGCTATTTGAGATTGTGTAATTGGACAAACTGACGAATATGTTTATGATCAAATAAAAACATATAGCACGAATTTTCTGATTAAATAACCTGATGGATACTACGTTCCCTATTTTATTTCGAATATACACCAAAAGGGTTATTATGGAAACATTAAGGGTGAAAAACAACGCCCGGAAAAGATTGTCCAACTTCAAACGTGAATTACTGGAAACAGGGTTTTCGCTTATTCGTCGGTATGTCAGCTCTGCAACGATGTTTATTAAGTGAAATGGTGCGCTAAATCACTTACGCAATTAAAAGTGGCGCAAGCAGAGTGGCGCCATTACGTAAAGGTAGTGAAATCAGCTGCTGTACAGGTAATACGCACCTGTGCAGCACCCCCGCACTTGTCACTTGGGCAGGTTACAAACACCAGCCCTGCTAAGGCCCTATGTGATTTTTTTGACATTCTGAGTAAATAATAAATGAATCTCAACAGAGAGAGACAAGTCCCGTGTGTGATTTAGAAGTGCCCCGCCCCCCCCCCCAACCTGTTCCCCTGCAACGCCTGGCGGTAGACTACCACAAAACGGGCCTGCTCTTTGGCCTTCTCAGACTTGACTACTTGTCATACATCTAGAGTTTGACTCGCAAATCAAGGGCAATGTGGTTTATGCTGAAATACCCGAACATTTTTTTTCGAACCAATAAACGACCCCATTTCCATATACGTATATGGACAATAGAAAAGGTATGGATTCTAGTAGTATGGATTCTTATTCTAAGCTACCCAGGCCCTATACAAATGTAAATTTGTATTCAGTATTTGCTATTCATAAATATCTCGGACAGCACCCATTTCCGTTCGTCGAGAGCCCGGCACGTGGCCGATTTTTAAAGATTTTTTTC